TCGGACTATCATGGTCGTGTTGTAACAGTAGGGGGTTTATAGGCGCTACCAACAGGTCCTCACTAGTAACAAAGACAGCCCCACCGTCTTACCGCTCATGTTACTTATTAAGTGCGACTGGCCAGCAGTTGCGGCCAGCACCGCGAGTGTTACCACCGCCGGGCGAAAACATTTCAACGACCTTATAGGGATGTTTCAAACTGAATAAGCATTTACTCCAATATCAAAACAGCTACGGTAAAAGGCTTCATTTCCTGCGATTGTTAACCAAGCAGGGAATGAGTGTGGACGACCTCATACAAGTATACTTATCACTCATCCGCCCCGTACTGGAATATGGCCACGTTTTACTCGTCGGTTGCAACGTAGCTCTAGCAAACAACATGGAACGAGTCCAACGTCGCGCACTTCGTATCATCTCTTGCGGAGGGAGACGCGACGTACCAGCTCTACCCTCTCTAAAGGAAAGGAGAAAGTCTGCGGCCGTGTCCCTGTTCAGGTCGATGCTAAATCCCGAACACCCACTACACGACCTGGTGCCCCCCCAGAGAGCAACTGCTACCGGCAGGATCCTAAAGAACAGCCAGGCCATGAGTGCTCCCAGGGCCAGGACAAAGCGGCTCCAGCAGTCCTTTCTCCACAGGGCCATAGCCCTATACAACAAGAACTGACGTATCACTAGTTTTATTTTTCCTAAACCTCATCTGTATATAGTTTTTTGCTTGGTACAAATTCTTTATGTATTATAGTGTATATGAGGGTGTGTATATAGTGTTTCTTTTGCCTATTGTAACTTTTATTTTCTGTACGCAAACTCTTTCAATTCAGGGATTCTCATCCCTGCTGCAAGGTTTGCTTTTGGTGTTGAAAAAAATAAAACTATAAACAACTACCATCATACACTGTCCCTGGTACTGAACTACCATCATACACTGTCCCTGGTGATGAACTACCATCACACAATGTCCCTGGTACTGAACTACCATCATACACTGTCCCTGGTACTGAACTACCATCACACAATGTCCCTTGTACTGAACTACCATCACACAATGTCCCTTGTACTGAACTACCATCACACAATGTCCCTTGTACTGAACTACCATCACACACACAACAATCTTTAGCTAATGACAAGTTTAGTAACATGAGCCTGTCCCTACCTTCCCAGTCCGATGTCCATGTACTCACTCAGCATGAAGTCCAGGTGTTCCACGCAGGCAGTGGACATCAGAGTCTGGCAAACAACAAAACAGGCAGTAATCAGCTCTGCCCCAGTGGTTTGCCAAAATTTCAGACACCAGCTATAGTCAGCACGTCGGCAGAACGTACTGCACCTGCGCGAAACATAAAATGTATTGTGCATAGCACTTCGGCAGAACGTCTCATTTAAGGTCATATCATGCATAAAAGGTCGACATCTGGTCTGTAGTTTCCAAATGTTGTGTTGGAAAAGATATTGTCTGCAACAGGCAAAATTCTGATGCCACGTTGACCAAAAATCCTATGAAAACCGTGAAAAATTGGGGTTTTGCGCAGGTGCAGTACATTCTGCCGACGTGCTGCTATAGTCTACACTTGACAGAGAAAAGCAATCAACAGCTTTGAGAGCAAGGTTGGCTGTGGTTGGCTGGTGTTCGTCAAGTTGGCTATTGTTTGGCTGTTCCAAATTCACATTCGGATGTAGATGGGAGGTTTGGCCATGATTGTTTGGTGGAGGGCTGGTGTTCGGGAGTGTGTGGATCGTGTTAGGGGTCAAATTCAACTCAAATTAAACTCAAATTCAATTTGATTCATATAGATACTTAAGATAGATCATCAATAGATGTGGCCTAAATCTGGCCAGACTGCTTCAAAACTCCAGCTAACCTTCTTCTAAAATATCAAATGGATTCTGATGCAACTTTAGACAGTACATGAACCAAGAAAATATATCAGTCTGGCATTTCCTGAAGTTGAACTTGAACACCTCACCTGCAGGTTTCCCAGTCGTATCTTCACCCCGGCATATTCACCTCTCTTGAAGGCTGCCAGCATGTCCAGCAGCTCCGACATGTGTCCACTTCTGTTGAAGTACACAACAAACCTACTTCTGCCCTTGCCTTGTTAGCACTTTTAATTTATCTATTTCATCATAAGACGGCTGGGTAGCCCCATTCAGCTTAAATTAGCTGTTTTCCAAGGGGGCCAAGCAAAATTACACAAGACATTGTTACATACAGTAAGACAAGAGTGGACAACATGCAATAAACATAAAAGTCTAACGCCTCAATCATTAAAGTCATGAGTCATAGTCCTATACTCAAAGTCCTAGCCGTTCAAAGGTCAAAAACACGACAATCAGGAATTAGGTCATTTTATCAACACCACACCACTCTCACCACAGAAAAGTTTTAAATCTGCTTTGAAGAGCATGCAAACTGTACAAGTTCTGACCTGCCAAGTAAAGCTGACCTGGACTGGTGATGGATATGAGCAACGGATAACGATTTTGATTTGTACTCTTTGACTTTCTTATATGCTTTTACGTAACACAATATTTTCTAATAACTTTTGGTTAATTGTACATGTGTTAAGTATGTCTAACAATCCTCTGGTATATGATATGTGAATTTTGTAACATTTAAGTTTATTTTCTTTGGTCATACAGACTGATGATTTTTATGTTTTTTTTAGTCTGTGCCCCATTGAAAATCAATTTGCCAGACTTGAATGGGCCAAACAGCTGCTAAAGAAAACTGTATATAGTCACCATTGTTTGATTTGTCCATTTAAGACAATCTAGTATGCAAAATAAATTCTTGTATGTTACTTCAATATACCAAATTTCAACTATTATAATAATAATAATAATATAATAATAGGAAACATCAACATTTTTGTTATAGAGGAGTCTAGTCATATACACAACAGACTAAGTTGAGCTAGTATTATGCATATATTAACCAAGGCTGTATATTTCTCCTAAGCTGTGCTGTTACAGTAGTTTTACGTAAAGGTTCCAGCACAAAATGGGGTCCTAATTCCGTCATATGAACACAGGATGGTGGCAGGACTCCAGGCCTGTGTGGCATGCCATAGCACACAAACTGTGAAGCTGTCAAGCCTGCGTGTAATTTGCTCTTTGCATGAACAAGACGTATTAGTCTGCTAAATATTGTTAAAAATGAAAATTTTCCAATGATTAATAGCTGTTGCATGGGATTTACAAAATTATACACGTCATGGAACTCACAGTTTTGATGATGCTAACTTAGTCCATTATTATTGGTCCATACAATGACTGGAACTCATGCATAATGCCAAAACAACAAGAATTCCGAGATTTCATACCTCCATGAAATATGGGCTTGATATGTAAATGTGCCTGCAGTTACAGAACAAGCTGCTAGGGGGACCAAACTCACACCACTTATTCCTGACAGGAAAAGCAATCTGTCATGAAAACATCAAGACTATAGCATGTTCAGGACAAAAGATACAAAAACCGGAAGTTCTGCTGCAGTACCAAGGTCATCCACCAGGAGGCCCATATTTGACCTTGACGTTTGTCTTCCTAAGACTTACCAACATACCAAATATCACCATAATCCATAAAGGCGTTCTGAAGTTATGCTGACCACAAAGTTGCGGAAACACAGACAGACAGACACACACACAGACATACAGACACACCGAAAACAATACCTCCATTTTTCATGGAGGTAATAAGCAGTCAAACTAGTATGGAATTATGGACATTTTGGAATTAGTGAGTAACAATAACTTTCCTGCATGGTTTGGCATTTTCTGTACAGTTGTACTTTGTTCCATGTACAGGCAGCCTACATGTAGTATGAATACTGTTGAGTTCTTCAATAAATTTAAGAAACAGTATATTGTACTTAAATTATGTGTGTTATGGCAAGACCAGCAGGCACTTCCTTATTCAAGTTATTGTGTTTAATATAAAAAAGGTTCCCTTCATGAACATGCTTTAAGTTACAAAATCCTGAGTGAATTCCTGGAAAATGCATCGAGGATAAGCAGGGCTCTATCCAGCTCAAATTTTTTTCAGTCAGCCAAGGGTCTGGATCTGGGTTGTGTCGTGACTGGCAGAAGCACAACTTGAGCACCTTCCGCCCCTGGGAAATTTTGGACTTTCAAACCTTAAAAAACACAATTGGCCGCATTTTTGGACACAAATCATGAGGTTGAGAGTGGTTGACAATGTCTGCCATTGCACTGGCAGATGAGGCCCTGCATTTTTGTTGCACCTACAAATGCCCTCCGCTCAAATTCCAGTCTCCCTGGGCAGGGTAACACTGTAGTGTATCCAGCTTTGGATGTTTACATATTTTTACCCAAGATTTTGGTTGATTTTTTTCTGTCAAGGTTGACGGATTGGTTTGAAAATATTACATGCAGCAAAGTTGTATCAATTGACAGAAAAACAGGTGCTGGGTAGAGCCCTGAGTTTTAAAAGTATCCAGTGACTACACTATTATTATCATCTTAGCAGAGGACCAGTGAATGTGCACTTACACTTCCATAGTGCCATGACATGGAAACACACACCAGACCAGTGTATACACACCGTGGACCAACCATTACAAAACATCCACATCACAACACTACTTCCACTGATAATACCTTATCATGTAGTCCTTCAGATAAAAGCACTGTGTGGGGCGGGCGCATACGGAGTTGCGGCCAAACTTGGCCACCGTATCCATGCACCAACTATCCCGCACTATGCAAAGGTGGTCCTGATAATGAACACCACAATCATCAAGTTGAACATGGATTAGAAGCTGTTACCTGAGCCCAAGAGATGATGTTTGAAGCATTATTATTATAGTAGACAAAGTCAACAGTTTTGTATGGGAGATGACAAGATCCCATGTGAGGAATTGACCACCAAGGTTCAGTCACTTAAGCACCTGTCACACAAAGCCAACTATGCCCTTTTGAACACTGCCGAACTCCCCCAGCCATGGTTAGGAGTAGGTTGGGAGCAGGTCAGCTGTGGTTAGCTGGTGTTAGGTGAGGTCAGCTACTGTTCGGCTGTGCCAGCCAAATGTTTCAAAATGTTTAAAACATTTGGGTGTGGACAGGAGGTTTAGCCAAGGTTGGCTGGTGTTTAGGAGCAGGTCAGTAGTGATTGGGGCTTATGTTATATTATGTAAATTTGGATTGTATCAAAAGGTAGGTCTGGGCTTAATCTGGTCATACTACTCCCAACCTTGATTTTGAAGTTGAAAATTTTCCAACCGTTACAATTTTAAGAGCAGTTTAAACAATATTAAGATGTCAGTTTTCAGTTTCTGCCAATAAAGTTAAAACAACTGGAATTGGATGATCATACAAAAATGTACAATGAAAATTAAATGGCTGTCACAGGAACTTGTGTCAAGCATTTTCAAATTCTTTAAAAAATGATGCCACCAAACATTTACTTTGAGGCTCAAGCAGGCAATCACAATTACGAGGTACAGAGAACCATAAAGTGACATATCCTGTAGATTCAGCCTACAGAATATAGGCTAAATACACATTATAGCAATTCCGTCAGTTCAGTAGCCTGGTTACCAAACCTATTATAGCTCCCGAGTCCTACATCATCTCCGCAAGGATGTAGGACTCGGGAGCTATAATTATATAGGTTTGGTAACCAGGCTATCAGTTCAGTGGTATGTTCAAACTCTTTTGGTTTTGTAATTTTGACTAGACTTTTTTATTGAACTTTCATCATGAAAATGGCATCATACATGTATGTGATGATTAACTATAATAGGCATATATTAATCTCTTTATGGTTCTCTCTTTATTATGATATACAAAAGTCATGTAGCATTGATTATTGATTTTGATTTTTAGTAGACAGACATGAACAGTTACAGAACATTGGATTTCCTGACTGTTGGGAGGACTAAAATGATTCATTCAGGAAGAATTATGGACAAAAATTCTCTAATTCCTCTTGATTCCTTCTGTTAAAGTGGTATTATGTATTTTGCATCCAAAATGGAAAAATTCTTATTGAAAGAAAGCTTTAATGTGATTGTAATTTACTTCAGAAATTCACTTTTTAACACTATTTGTGCAATTATTACCTGACATTTATGGTTGATGCTAAAATTGCCACCACGAGGTGCACTCAGTTTGTAGCACCACCAAAACAATAACAATGTAAATAAATATGAATGACTTTAAAATACAGTCTTGTAAGAAAATATCGCTTTTGTTTCGTCCTAAATTGTTACATAATGCAGCTTTTAAATACATTGGAAATTTACTGACAGTCAGGAAATCCTCTGTCCCGACAGCAAGAGAAATTTTACCTGATGTTCTCATCACGCAGAAGGACACAGAAAGTAGGGCGTCCTGACAGTTCCCAACGGGTACTAACAAACTGAAGGTGGTCCTACAAACACACACATCACACACTATTCCAGGTGCATTCACCAGTAGGTTTTCAGGCAGAACAGGCATGCCAACTAGAGGGAAAGTAAAAACTCAATATCTTTATTTTTTTCAGAATAGTTTTGCTGCTAGCAGTAGATTTTCACAAGGTGAAGGATTTTTGCTCAGTGACATGAAATTTCTGTAATTTTGGCCCTGACAATTAAAAAAAATATCCCCTTTTTAAAAATCACACTACAGTGGTCTAGCCAGCACCTATCTTTCTGTTATTTGATGGATGGATGAATTTTGCTGCTTACGACAATCATAGTAACATAATGGAAACGGATGCGAAATTTGCCACTGAAAATGCAGGAAGAAATGTTTCAGAGGGATAAGATTTCAAAATTTTCTCAGGAATCATGTCCTCTAGCTAGACTTTGATAATTAGCAGGACATTACATTTCATCAAATGAAATTGATGATGCAAAAAACTTTTAGGCTGCTGGCTAGAACACTGGTGGCATCTTAATAAATATCCATTATTTACTTGGTTTGCTTTCATGTGACTTCTGTATATTATGCAGTTTACACAGTAGCTGCTAGGTGGCATACCTGCACTAGGAACTGGGAATGATCACTTTGCCATAAAAAATAATGAAAAAACAAACAAGCCAGTATATTACCTGATGCCAAGACAGCACCACAGCAAGGCGTCAGATTAAGAAGGCAAAAATGTTTGACTGTAAGTAACATTACCTTCATCTATTTATTACATACGCATGATTGTATACTGACCAAAAATGCAAATTTAAACAAAACTGATTTTGCTCCCGTAGTTTTGATAAGTCAAGTATATTAACAATATTTTGCACNTCCTAAATTGTTACATAATGCAGCTTTTAAATACATTGGAAATTTACTGACAGTCAGGAAATCCTCTGTCCCGACAGCAAGAGAAATTTTACCTGATGTTCTCATCACGCAGAAGGACACAGAAAGTAGGGCGTCCTGACAGTTCCCAACGGGTACTAACAAACTGAAGGTGGTCCTACAAACACACACATCACACACTATTCCAGGTGCATTCACCAGTAGGTTTTCAGGCAGAACAGGCATGCCAACTAGAGGGAAAGTAAAAACTCAATATCTTTATTTTTTTCAGAATAGTTTTGCTGCTAGCAGTAGATTTTCACAAGGTGAAGGATTTTTGCTCAGTGACATGAAATTTCTGTAATTTTGGCCCTGCAATTAAAAAAAAATATCCCCTTTTTAAAAATCACACTACAGTGGTCTAGCCAGCACCTATCTTTCTGTTATTTGATGGATGGATGAATTTTGCTGCTTACGACAATCATAGTAACATAATGGAAACGGATGCGAAATTTGCCACTGAAAATGCAGGAAGAAATGTTTCAGAGGGATAAGATTTCAAAATTTTCTCAGGAATCATGTCCTCTAGCTAGACTTTGATAATTAGCAGGACATTACATTTCATCAAATGAAATTGATGATGCAAAAAACTTTTAGGCTGCTGGCTAGAACACTGGTGGCATCTTAATAAATATCCATTATTTACTTGGTTTGCTTTCATGTGACTTCTGTATATTATGCAGTTTACACAGTAGCTGCTAGGTGGCATACCTGCACTAGGAACTGGGAATGATCACTTTGCCATAAAAAATAATGAAAAAACAAACAAGCCAGTATATTACCTGATGCCAAGACAGCACCACAGCAAGGCGTCAGATTAAGAAGGCAAAAATGTTTGACTGTAAGTAACATTACCTTCATCTATTTATTACATACGCATGATTGTATACTGACCAAAAATGCAAATTTAAACAAAACTGATTTTGCTCCCGTAGTTTTGATAAGTCAAGTATATTAACAATATTTTGCACACAAAAGTGCTCTTCAAGTTACAATGAAAATGGAAAACGGTTGCTGTTTTGTATTGTAGGCTGGTTCTAGCTATTATTGGTGGTACCAAAAAATAAAGAGGACTCATACATACATGTAGCTTGTTTTGGGGCTATTTCAAATGCTTAACGTATGAAAAGATGAGGAAAATATTTTAGGAAATGTCAGTAAAAAGTCAATATCAGCAGATTTCCTCATCCAGAATATTTTTGTTTTGCCATCCTAAAATTGCGGACTTACAATGTATGTCATGTACAGTCAAGTACAATTATCATGTAACTGTTAGTGTTACAACAGATAACAAATTCCAAATTGTGGGATGTGCAGTTGGATTCTATATTCCACTCACTCACACCCACACATAAGCAATGCAAACTTAATGTTAGAAAAAGACCCCCAAAAATTGTGTGTACATTTAGCATCTAAATTTTTGGTCAGTATACACCAGCTAATCAATATTACACACACTAGTCAGGAAAAAGCAACTTGCATAGCCATATTTTTGTACAATTCAAAACAAAAATTAAATTATAGCTAGAATCATGCTAACATGTCATGTCATATGCAAACATAATCATTCTATGCATAAGTTTCTCCCTGCTACATGTACCTTTCAATGTAATCAACCAAGAATTGGAAGCCAACTTGCTTAAATTCAGTGTGCCAAAGGTTATGGGTCAAAAGGAAGGAAACTTCAGAGTGCCTTCTAAAACTCATAATTTATGAATTATGTCTTTTCCTAAAACCCAACCAAGATTTTACATAAAATTGTGCCCCCCCCCCAACAAAAAAGCAGAAGTTGATAAAGAACACCTGTCCAGATCCTTCTGAAATTCTGAACTTGTTGATCATGAGTTTGTTCTGCTTTTAAATATTTCTCTTTGTGCCACTATATATTCTGTGTTCTCCTAATAACATAATTATACAGGCAGGGCTCAAAATACTTTTTTGCATACTTTCACCAGTGCAGGTATTTTGAAAATCACCTGCACCAGATAAATTTTACCTGTACTACTCACAAAATTTAGTCATATTCTTTTGTGACCTGGTAGGCGAATCAAAACTTATAAAACACACTTCATTCCAAATTCCTAAAAGTAGTCTATGAACACTGAAAATAAAATGTGCAGATACCTTGATGTCATCGATGAGTAGGGACATGTCCTGTGACATGTAGAAGTCACTGAGGTTGAACACAAGTGGGTAACACAGAACTGTCCTGCCCAGAATACGGTAGATCTGTCAAACAAACATTCGCATGTCTTGTAAACCAACATTTTGATATACATGTACAAATTAAGTTCTGCTGGTTTGACAGAATGCTGTACTTTGCCTACATTGTACATTGTATCTCCCTATGTGGAAAAGGGCCCATGTAAGAAAGTAAGTAAGAAATATAGATACATAGACGAGTAAGTGACAGACTCGTACACTCAAACTTGCCCAAGTGACAACCTCTCTAAGCTGGCTATGAGGTCATGACAACCGCTTTTTCTTAGTCCCAAATTTATTTTCTATAGAAGCATTAAGGAACTTGTTCAAGCAGTACGCTTGTCTAACACAACCAGCATGAATAAGGACTGCAAATGGCCTACATTGTAATCCCTGCCTATGAACGTGTCATTTTCATGCGTTTGGCAACCATATTATTAACTTTTGATAAAAAGTAGCAAAAAATCATGGTAAAATCGGCTAGTGTGGATTTTCAGCTATCATGTCATGTACATGTCTGTGTAAGTTATGTACTTCCCTTATATGTTTCCATTCAACATTCAATCAGTATACACACGTCATGTACATGTTTGGTATGTTATCAATAATTAAGGATCATTGAAAGTTTTAACAGTCTTGTGTTGTCTCCATGCTTTTTTCGTAAAAAGACAACTTGTCTATAAGAAGGCCACTTTTCTTGGTCCCTAGGGAGTCTTCTCAGACAAGTTAGACTGTACAAGTCATGTTCATGTACATGTTGGATGTAGCAAGGAACAGGAGCGTGCAATGGAGCGTGTCCATCATCAGCCGAGGGGGCAGGCGTGATGTGCCCGAACTACCTACCCTCAAGTCAAGGCGCGATGATGCTGCCGTCAAACTCTTCACACAGATGCTACGAGAAGACCATCCCTTACATGACCTTGTCCCTCTCTCCAGATCTACAGCTACCGGCCGTTAACTCAGGAACAAAAACACTATCTCTATCCCCCCGCCAGAACAAAAAGACTACAGAACTCTTTCCTTCACCAGTCAATCAGACTCTATAACCAGACTGTACAGATAGAGTCTGGCACAAGATAATGGACCTTGTAAATACATGTATCTGGGTTGTACACTTTTTGTAAATATTATCATAATGATATTTTGACATTTTGTATACAATGTAATTAACTATGTAAATATCAACGCCATTTGGGCAACATTGTATGCCATGTTTGTCTGTTATGTTTGGTATGTTAATAAAGAATTGAGTATTGAGAATCATGTATTACCTTGGATGTTCCGAGGGACCCAACAGGTCTGGGTGGTCTTCCTGTTAGTCCTAACTTCTTGTTGACCCCAAGAAACTCATAAACCTGCAGTTGTGATCATCAACCTTTATTTTCAATATACATGATACTTAATATCATGACTGAATTCTACAGTACAAAGAATGATTGCAAATTTGCTTTTGTCCAGGAAAACAGTCTTTATTCTAAAAGGTCATTTTTGGCAGGAAATGAAGAAAATCTAACCAGGTGTGCCAGGATTTCCTCATTTTTCCGGTGAAGCAGACCCCGACATGCCTCATGCCTTTGGTGCTCAACGTGATTCTACGTCAAACAAAATGATGGAATATGCTTTGACACTGTGACGTAAGATGAATGTGATGTACATGTACATGTTACCTTGACTAGTTCTCCTGGTGGCCAGATCTGGATGGGTTCTACCTGCTGAGGAGTCTGGGTCTGGATACCGTACATGGCAAGGGTTGCCTGCAGACTGCACACAAGGGTTCACAGATATTACTTAATAGGAAACTTTAAATGGTTCCATCCCAGAGGCATCGTCAAAAAAGTACCACACATTTGAGCAGTTCAGTACAGTATAGTTACTGTAACTGTTACTTTATAAAAAGAGCCTATTTTCTATCAGATAATAAATATTTTCACTGATTTCTTCAGATCCAAAAGTCATACAATTTTACAGTAATATTGAAGATCAACATATTGTATCTTATACTAACCTGGTACTCTCAGCTATCAGCACCATCTGAATCGACTGGTCAGAAACATAGCTCTGAAATGCAATTAAAAGAAAAAATATGATTATAATTATCAGCAACAACATTTAGGCCACACCTGTGTGAGTTACATTTGTAGGTGACTTGAGGCTACATGTGCATGAGTTAACTGATAACTTTTTGTTTGTTAACTGTCCTGCTTGTGAGTTAAGTGTCCTGCTTGAGTAAAATTGATCTGTCATTAAGAAAACTGTCTTGTTTGAGTTACATACAGCAGCTGTCTTCAGGAAGGCGTCTTTCCAAGCAAATGGAAAGAGGAACTGGTTGTACCTGTGCCAAAAACGCCACACCCGAAAGGTCCTGAAGAGTTCCGCCGAATTTCGCTAACTAGTTGCCTCGGGAAAGTGCTGGAGGTTTTCGTCCGTGAGCTACTTCTGCGAGACACAGATGAACAAAATTCTCAACTCACAACATGGGTTCCGACGGGGTAGATCTACTGTCTCAGCCCTCATAGTCATACAGACAACACAAGCATGGCATGACGCCTTGAACAGCAACCCAAACATGGACGTCCATGTGGCATTTATAGACTTTTCACGTGCCTTCAACACGATCGATCATGGGAAGCTCTTGTGCAGCTTGGCCAGGATGGGCATTAGGCGGAGCCTATGGTCATGTATCTCCAGTTATCTGTCTGACCGCAATTGCAAGCAGCGCGTGAAATGGGGAGGAAGTTTTTCTGAGTCGCGGCCTGTTCTGGCTGGTACACCCCAGGGAGGTATTGTGTCGCCAACGTTATTTGTCATAGCCATGAATTGTGCCTAATGGGATCTCTTCCTGGCCTGATGCAGACATCAATGACTGCTGTACAGTCATGGGCAACATCGTACAGTATGGAGGTGAATGCCAAAAAGACAAAAGACATGGTAATAAGCTGCCGTAAAGACCCGGTAAATCCCCCGCCACTCATGTTAAACGGCCAGCCAGTGGAGAGAGTTAAGAAATTCAAGCTCCTGGGTGTCACTGTTACTAGTGATCTCACATGGGATGAACATGTCAAAGGTATCATCTCGAAGGTACAACCCCGTATACACTACTTACGACTTGCCAAGAAGTCCGGACTACCTTCTGACGTACTATTGAGAATCTACACCTCATTCATCCGACCTGTCATGGAGTACGGATCACCTGTGTGGGGAGGGCTTCCAAAGACTCTGTCAAATGAGCTGGAAAAAATCCAAAAACTCTGTTGCAAAATCATTGGCACTGAGCACCAGCAACTACACACGCTAGAGTTTAGGCGACATGAAGCATCTCTACGCGAGCTGCAGCGAATCCTGAAAGACACCACACATCCCTGTAGACTGTTCCTGCCCCCAGTGGTTCAGACACCCTACAACCTACGCCGCCGTACGGGACTGAAACCACCACTCAGCAGATCAAATAGACACAAAAACTCTTTCACACCCAGTTTGTGAGTTAACTGTCCTGTTAGTGAGTTAACTGATCTGCTTGTAAGTTAACTGTCTTGTTAGTGAGTTAACTGTCCTGTTTGTGTTAGTGAGTTAACTGACCTGTTAGTGTTAGTGAGTTAACTGACCAGTCCTATTAGTGAGTTAACTGACCTGTTAGTGTTAGTGAGTTAACTGACCAGTTCCTATTAGTGAGTTAACTGACCTGTTAGTGTTAGTGAGTTAACTGACCAGTCCTATTAGTGAGTTAACTGACCTGTTAGCTAGTTAAGTAACCTGTTACTGAGTTAACTGACCTGGCTCCTAAAGGAGGAGTATCTGGAGTTGACGTTGCTCCTCTCTCCTGGAGGAAGACTCTTCCCTATGGGATCCAGCTCTTTAGTACTCAGGAGACCTTCAACTGGTGACAAAATGACAACATCAGACATTCATGATCCCCATACTAGGTTCTTTGAGGCCGTAGGAACAGTGGGTTGTTATCCATTATGTCTATAAGCAGGGTATTAGAAAGGGAAGCCCATAACTCTTCTTCCACTGCTTCCTACCTCCCCTTACAACTGCATGTTACACCTGGCTGGAGTGAGGAAAGTCTTATAAAGTGCCTTTCCCAAGGGCACAAGATCGCGACATTACAGGATTTGAACCCAGCACCCCTGTGCTCTATAGGCCAAACACACGACCCCCAGATAAGACATTCCCATCTTAAGGCATGCTCCTACGGGAAAATTTTCAAAATCTTGACCTGAAATTGCTACGTCCTGCTAGCCTGGGTTCCATCCTGGTTAGTTTATGTCCGCTCCCACAGTCGCTACCACCAACCAGTCTGGGACCGGTTCCGTAACAGCCGCCTGGTGATAGCGACTGTGGGAGCGGACGTAAACTAACCAGGATGGAACCCAGGCTAACGTCCTGCATTCTGAAGGGCAGATGTTGCTGACAGACTAAGCATATCTTGTATATCTTTACACACCAATTTTTGTCCTTAATTCAAAGATGACAGATTGGGTCAAATTTTTGTCTGTCATGAGCAGAAAAATTTCTTCAAATCACATAAAAAAAGGACACTAGCAAGAACAGATGCGATGTTGAATAACAGAAATGTGTAAATTTGGCTCAAGCACAGTACAATCACCATCTATACATTGTATGTTACTTGAATATTTGTCCTACAGTCTGAGCGTGCCTTACCTAGAAGGCAGGCTATAAGGTACAGTGACTGTCCCCACAGGAACAGTTTACCATCAGTACCCTCATCACTGGGGACTCTCTTCTGGGTCCCCGGGGCCTTCCTCTCAGCCTCCACATTCTCCTCAGACACAAAGTAGTACTTTGGGATCACCACACCTGTGAATTGGGAAGTAGTATTAGGCAAACCAACCACCAGTCCAACACTACAAAATAGTTGTCAATGACCGTCTGGCCATGACCACAACTTTTTCTCACTCCCGATTCTATTTCCCATATATACAGTAGTTGCAAGCATTAAGGATTTCTTCAAACCGACCACTTGTCTAATGCAAACGCGATCAGCACATGGCAATTGCAAATAGCACAATCGCTACATATTCTACACGGATAGTGAGTGATAGTGAAGGTGACATTGATTTTTAATGAAAAATATTGAAATTATAGGGAAATAATTATGGACTTTTCAAGTTGAGGTTTCAGGTCATTGGGTCATCAAAGATGGCCTTTGCAGGGTCATCTCTTAAGTCATTGGGACAGTCTACTATATGGATGATATGATTATATTATGTTAATATACATATTAAACATTGACATCTGCATCTCGGTCTTGTCTTGTCGACATGTTTTCTATTTCTAAATATAAAACATGTCGGCAAGACAAGACAAGACCACTTGTCCCTGGTCTTGTGGGTGGTCATCTTAGACAGGTCAAGTTTGACTGCAACAAATCTGATTATCACTTAGATAGGGCAACTGACTAGCATCCCTTGAATTATAAGGTATTGTATTGTAACCATTCAGTAAGGCTGTGTAGTGTACTTCTAAGTACAAATATTTCACGTACACATGGTTACACAACAGTATATCCACAAATTTAGTTTTTTAAGTTTACATTAGCCAGGTACAAACTACATGACATATAATCCANATAACAATGTACCAGCCACTCACAGATGTTGTCCTATTAAGATATTGTAGAAGATGAATTGCATTTTATGCTAACATGTCCAGTTTACAATGAAGAAAGACAAACACTTATGAACTCTATCACCAACAGCACAAGTATTACATTACCTAAGACAGTCTCAGATACCTTTACTTTTCTTATGTCATGCCCCGATGCAATCTCACCATATATAGGCCAATATATTTCTAACGCCTTAGTTAAAAGAAACAATGTCATTTCCGAAACAGTCAACTGATTGCTTACACATAACAATGGAATCAACTATATATATATATATATCCATTATACTAGTAATACTTAAGTATAGGACAGAGTAGTATTTAGTTGTAGATTTACAGGACCCCTGTATAATGTTTGCCATTCCTTTTGTATACTAGTACGATGTAACTTAAGTTCGATTCATATACAGCATGAATGTAGTACTCTTTTACGCATTAGTTTAGATTTTAGATTTGTACTTAGTACCGCTAATTGCCATACGATGTATCCGTACATTAGTTGTGCAATAAACTTTGACTTGACTTGACTTGACTATGTTCAATCATGTTTGGTCCTACATGTACATTGTATATCTACATTCATTTTGTAAAATATTCTACAGACACTGGTACAGTAGTATACTACTACACAGCCCAACCACTCAAGCTTGCCTTGGCACTAAAAGCTAATATCATTGAATTGCAGGGCTCGAAATACTGGGGGCATGTGCACCTTAGTGCACCCAGATATTTTTGTAGGTTTACATTTTAGATGTTAAATGTATATAACATATTCTTAACATCTCGTGTCAGAAAAATAATAAAATCATTGTTTTAGTACTTCTTTAGAAATGAAACATAATTTGTTTTTGCTGTCAGTGACATTCTTACTACTACATTTTGTAATTTTATTTTATATGGTGCACCCAAAAAAATTTTGTGCACCCAATTTTTTAGGTTGGGTGCACCAGTGCACTTATTCCCAAAAATAAATTTCGAGTATTATTAGTGAGCACCACTGGCTCACACATGCACATGTACTCACCAAGTTCCCCGTTGTCCTGCAGCAATGGCTGTAACATCCTGCAGTACTTCTCTACTTGTTCTTCTTTATTTCGGAAAACACCTGTTTATGGAACCCAGGAAAAACAATCAAGGAATTACTGTTATTTTTTTGTGAATTTTTGTTACTTTTGACAGGAATTTTCATAAGAAAAAAATAGACAAAGGCATCACAGAATGAACTACTCCTGTACATGTGTCTACATAGTCTAGACAAGTGTACTTACCATCAATGATCATGTAGATGTAAAACACTGGCCATTCACACTCAATCCCATCAAATAACTGCAGCAACAGAAATGTTTTATTGTTAGAATACAGCAGTTTACTATATAAAGTTCCAGACATCATCACTGTATACACTCAGTCAGTAACAACAAAAAAAAGATTTCATCCAATTCTATCATTAATTATATCAAGCATTAAGCTGAAAGTCATGACAATCCATCCAACCCTTCTGGAGTTATTGTCTTTTAAAAATTTCACAAAAACACCCCTGCAGATTTATAACAAGCCACTATACATGGCTGGCTGTCATGCTTACTGTGACATTATTGGCAGAATTCAATTCAATTAACTTCGTAAACTAAAACAGTCTTTGCACTGAAATTGCCAATAGAATATTTAATATATATATTATCATTATCATACCCAGGCCGCGATAACGTTCCATAACGGGTTCCGGACCGGTCCGTACTTTACGGTACGGACCAGACATAAATAAAATACAACACGGTGTATTCCGCATCACCCTCGGTCCCAGCCCTCCCGCGAGTCGGATCGATCTGACTCGCAGTCGGGCCGATACCTCGGGCGATACGGAGTACCCCGTGTTGTATTCCATAATGCATTACATGACTATATTTCTAGTACCTTGATTTCAGCCGGCTTGTAGTACTTTCTCTTCTTGTCCTCTAAAACAGTGCTGTAACCATCTCGCAGGAACCTCTTAAACCCATAGTTACCCTGCAGCTTTCTACAACACAACAACATCATCATATTTATTAAGATTGTTTTATTTTATGCAAGATTGCTTTATGCTCAGGTGAAAGCACTGTTTTGCATGTATTTTAAGTTAACAAAACTGTCTGGTATTGCAGCAACGCAAAATTAGCATTGGGTATATGTAGAGGATTCAATACCTGTACTATGTCTTGTGTAATCTTATATATTTATATATATTTTATATAAATATAGTAATATATATTTATATATTATAAGGACTCACCCCAGCAGACACTTGGGAGGATGTGATAATGATAATTATAATATAATGATAGAAAACAATACATTTTGCATACATGTATTTGTAACTGTCATTCACAATTATTTTGAATACTCATCATTCTGTAAAACTGATTAGACAATTTATTGAATTGAAATTCTGATAGCAAATTTAACTCAGAATAGGAGGATTTTTGCACTTCAGATCTCATGATCAAGTTTGTTTGACTAGGATCTCCATTAGTGTCACATTAATTTCACACTTTTCTTCCTGGATAGGGTGATTTGAAGTGAGTCAACTT